TTTGAAAAACAGAGCAAATATATAACAACCAGCTTACGGATCGGAAGGTCCATGGTTTGAACCCAACCTTGGTATTTTGACCGCTCCTGTCTAGGCTTGGGCAACGTGACGGTATCCCAGCCCTCGTCCTTCCCTCTGGTGGCATAGCAATTAGGCACCGAAAGGGTGCTACAGCTGAACGATTAGCGTTAGAAGAAGGGAATCTGTCACAATGGATGGGCTTCTGAAATCTTTCGTTGAGTTCCACTCTACCAATTTTTGGCAGCCATTTGACAAATCGCCGTTTGTTTTGAATATAAAAACAAGTTGACTCGGAAGGTAGAATGGCAGGCTTTGACCTGGCAAAGAAGTATAACAGTGATTGCGAGAAGTCTGGGTATTGTTGGTGTGACTCGTCTTCCAGGATAGGGTGATCCCCTTTATTTCATGGTTGGAGATGTTTCAACATACGCCTGTTAATTGGTGTCAATAGCTTTGCTGTTTTCAGCTTCTACCAAAACTGTCTGAATGAATGTCCAAGGTTATAAACACCTCGTAATGATTGTAGAAGGCTATTTCCATGTACCTTCCCAGCCCTTTATTATTTTCTCCATGATAAGGTTCTCAGATCAATCATAGTCGCATAACAGTAATGCATCAGTGTCGAACGCTGCTGTGTTGTCGTTGATGATTGTAAGATCTGGGCAACTAAGAATCTCACAGGACGACTGGAGATATCGAACTGCAAGCAATTCTTATTCAGGCATTAGGAACAGACGGATGGCGGCAGTAGATACTGTGTAGAGAACTGGTTCTGTGAACAAATGTGTCAATAAACGTCTTGATGTAAGCGGAATGTACATTCTGTAATAGTACAATCGGTTGGAGCAGAAAAAGAGACATCGAAGCAGCGGTGGTTTGAATGCGGGCAGTCGTGCGGTCGTGAACAGAGGTACCACCACTGAAAGTAGTCAATAAGCTCGGAAGGTAACGGCAACTGTCTGCTCTCTTTAGCTGACAGCGTGACGCAGCAGCATGTGTCGCGTGACCAATCCGAATGCGAGCTTAGGCCAGAAGCCTCAACAGAGATTATCAGGTTATATGCAGTACAAACGTAATACAAAAATAGGACCGTCGGAGAACTCGAGTTGGAGCGGTGGACGATGCGCTCGTCTCCCATCCGAGAGGCTCAGAGTTCGACCCCCGGTCGATGCACTTTTCCGTCGGAGCAGAAAAAAATGTAGAGCTTATACTAAATTTCAAGGGAAGATGAACAGACAGGATACCCTTGAAACTAGTAACTAGAGACTAGGCAGGCCCTAATCAGAAGTGAAAACCCGTGGGACGGACGATGCTGTCTGCTCTCTTTAGCTGACAGCGTGACGCAGCAGCATGTGTCGCGTGACCAATCCGAATGCGAGCTTAGGCCAGAAGCCTCAACAGAGATTATCAGGTTATATGCAGTACAAACGTAATACAAAAATAGGACCGTCGGAGAACTCGAGTTGGAGCGGTGGACGATGCGCTCGTCTCCCATCCGAGAGGCTCAGAGTTCGACCCCCGGTCGATGCACTTTTCCGTCGGAGCAGAAAAAAATGTAGAGCTTATACTAAATTTCAAGGGAAGATGAACAGACAGGATACCCTTGAAACTAGTAACTAGAGACTAGGCAGGCCCTAATCAGAAGTGAAAACCCGTGGGACGGGCGATGGGGATTCCGAACGGCGTTATAGTAAACAGCCATGAGTCATGCTACTCATGAGTAGTCACAACAAATAGGGAAATAAATGCAGACCGCTGATGATTCACAGGAATAGACAATGATGATGAAGGAATGGTACTTGAAAATTCTTCTCCTATATCTCGCCGTCCTTTTCCCGTATAGGTCGGGTACGCCAGTGGCATCTTCGGCGATGAGATCCGTCAAAAATACACTTAGTAGCAAATACTACTCCCACATTACATACGCTCCACACTTGCTACGATAGTACTGAATGTTTTCGAACCCAGATGTCGTCTTTGTAGGTGAAGGATGTGGTGTGAGCAGTTGCCCAATTCCAACTTGCAATTACTCCCAGAAGAGGGCAGGCCAGGGCGGTGTTTGCCAACCTCTGTTACCGATGTGACATGTCCAGATTAGGATACCCACTGCTTCAGTCCTGCTTTACGCGTAAAACATATAGCTGCTTTTCGAATGCATTCTCCTTGTTCAACCCTAATTGACTCCCAAGCAAATCGAGAATGCTTTTGTTAGCCCGCGGCAACTATGACGCGTGCCTGGTGTCAGCTTGCCTGTCAAGGATTTGTCCTTGCCATGCGGTTCTTGCCGCTTTGTGAGTCAGAAACATGAGCTCTACCCCGTCCCCTCCCCGCCCCGAGAAAACCCCATGCTTGCTCGCTGATGTTTCCGAAGCATCTACCGGTTCTGGATTAGCAATTACTGTGGTACGCCACATGGTTTTGGTAAGAACCTCTCCCGCGATGGACGGGATAACCAAGTTCCATACTTCCCATGTCGGAGGACCTACCTCGTTTGGCTCTTGTCGCCTAGCCCCGTGGCCATTTTAGACGGCCGAAAGGCGGAGAGTGATCTAGTACTGAACTAATGAAAGCACCAAACAGTAAACCCAGGCGGGTTAACAACTGCTGCCTCCTCGAAAGGATACACCAGAATAGACTTATCAGTGATTACTCATACTTACAGGCAATGCTCAATCACGCTGTCAGTGGCGCTTCTGCATCAAAGCTTACAGTCCTTGGCTGCCCAGCTTCCTTAGCCATCAAACAAAAATTCCACATCTTTAATGGGTTATGTCACCCTCATCACCTGCCTCTATCTTCCCCTATCCATTACTTTCCAGGGGCCAGCAATCATTTGTATTTTGCCGTTTCCATTGGTTTCTTCATTTATTTTTCAGCTTACCGTACACTAAGCCGGTTTTGAAGTCCCGGTGTCTCATGCCTTCCAGAAGCGATGCACATGCCTTTCGTGATTCAGCTGCTGTATATACAACAGACCAGAAGGCCGCCTCATATTCTGTCAACAGCCCGAAGCTTGCCACTGAGCACGTGACTCGGCACCGTCTTCGGCGTACCCGTTTTACCAGTGGTGGTGGGACCGTTGAGCCTGATGTGACGGAAGATTGCGTCACTCACCGGGCTAGGCGTTCGAGTAATGCACACGGGAGTAGTCATCTCGCCGTCCGTAACTCTAAGCCGCATTTACGGCCGCCGAACTCGCTTCCCTCTTCACCGAATTCAGCATGTTCCTTGATTGAGGCTGTTCGGCAAAAAACCGCGGTCATTCTAGATCCTTATGTGTCTCAAAATGATACGTCCATCAATCGCGTCGAGCAACTTGAGGATGAAAATTCCTTTTCTTCCAGTGTATTTTCTGAACACTTAGCATCGTCTGACCTGCCTCATATGATAAGTGCAATATCTCGCGTTCCGAATTCTTCGCAAAAGTCTCGGCATAGCTCAATACTTTCTTCTGATGTGCTGCTCGCTGATGACGAAGATACGAAGGACACAGATCAGGTCGAATTCGCTCATAAGATCAAAACGGATATGGATAACTTGTTAATACAGGAAGATAGTGAGATATCCACTCCGGCTTTGGCAGTTACAGATGATCCAGGTAGCTCTGAGGGTGAAGATGACAATGATGGAAAGGAACCGCCGCTTGTTGAAACCACCGATTCGAGACATCATCTTTCTGTTGAAGCGAGCGATGCAGACATCATGTCCGCCTCCGAAACTCCTTTGTTGGTTGATCCATGCGGAGACAGTCATGACTACCAGAACGATTCCATTCTCGGAAGTGGAGTGTTTGGTTGTGTTCAGACGGCTGTAAGCCGAACGGTCCTGAACGTAGATGCTTCCTCCCGACTGTCTATTGATACCGCGTCGAAATCACCCGGCTCGCATGGTACTCATACTAGTGAAGTAATCACAACGGCAGCAACATCATTTCATCCACAAGTACCGGTGGACTGTTCGACAACCACTGGATCTGCTCGTATGGTCACTCGGTCACAAACTGCCGAGTTGTTTCGACAAACTGTGAACACATCTCCCCTATCTTGTTCAGATACCCCGCACTTCGGCAGCACTGTACATAAACCCCTCTTTACTGAACGTCTTTCACACGGAGCAGATGCCAGCTCATCCCAAACCCAGCCTTCCTCTTCCTCTGCGACGGTGCAATCCTTACATAAAATTCCCAGCAGTACGAAGCGACATTCCAGTCCCATTGTGCCTTTCGATGAATTCTGTGAAGATTCCGCTCGCGCAGGTTTTCGTAACGGATGTCAGGAGTTGGTCCATCCCCCAGAACTTCAAACCACTACTGCGACTTCCCTCGACGGATCTCATGCTACGCCACTGTTATCTCGGGCTCCCGATATTACTTACGGTGGTTCCTTCTCCTCATCGAATTCGAAGAATCCTGAACACACACAACTTGCTTGTGAGTTTCTTTCTAATACGAGATTCTTTTGCTCTCTGTTACTCCCTGTTTTCGTACATAAGGAGCAAACACTCATCGTTTGTTTCTTGTTCCCGTTGTGACCGTTCAGTGATTGTAGTGAGGCTGTATTAGGTTGTGCACACTATGTGTTGGTTTACTTTCACCATCGGTGATCTGGTCACTTCAAACCCAGTATTCGATTACCTGGGTCTTGTGTCTGAATTTCCCCGCACTCGGTTCCAAAGCAGCATGGCCTCGAAATGCTCAGGCTGTACAGATGCTCCCATGATCGAATCATGGTGATCTGGTCATTTCAAACCCAGTATTCGGTTACCTGGGTCTTGCGTCTGAATTTCCCCGCACTCGGTTCCAAGGCAGCTTGGCCTCGAAATACTCAGGCTATACAGATGCTCCCATGATCGAATCATTTGAGGGCTTCCACACATCCATCTAAGTGTTGCATCGACGCTTGGACAACTCATTCAGTTGGTAAACTTCTCCACTTGGCATTGAAACACGTCTCAGCGGCTAGTATAGATTAGTCAGCGTGAGCCGCCAGTGGCACCGCTTATCCTTATTTCGAACCACAAGTGAAATGGATGATGTAGAATCGTCATCGTAAACGAACAATTGACTCCAAGTACATCTAACTAATTCGACGGAATTATTCATTCACACTGTAAAGCAAGAAGACGCATGTTTGTTCTGGGAGGTCGCAGCGATTCCTTTCGTCTCTTCGACCACGAAACTGAAAGCCATTCGTTTTCACACATCAACCATTTACATAAATTCGAATGAAACCAATCAATGTTTTATCAGAGGGTGTTTTGTCTCAACTTCATTGGAATGAAATTGCGGACGTTATTCGCTCATAACATCCACTCTTATTGATTAGTCATCGGAACTTCTCAGGCTACGAATAGGGAAGATTTCACCCAACGCAACAGGGTAGTGAACGACCGCAAGGTCAACCATAGTTTAGACGGTGTGCATGATTGGGGAGGTTGCTTTCTGAATTCGGCTTGGCCGTTGACACCGTTTGGTTGAACATATTTCCAGAATTGCGTCCACTTTACCTTCAGTCCACTCTAACATCTGTTCCCGCAACTACAAACATATTTCGAGAATTGCGTCCACTTTACTTTCAGTCCACTCGCAACTACACATGCACCGTTTGAAACGTTGCGTTCATAAAATCGTCCTCAGTCGTTGATAGCAGACGTGACTCTGCAGTTGAATAGGTACCGCTGAATGTAATTTATCTCCAATAGGTGTATCTAAGTGGTATTTTTAGACTCGTTTTTTTGCATAGGTGTTTCTAAAACTGCACCGGCCACACAGCACACCTTAGACGCCGGCCACTACTTGGACTTGGCGTTGTTCGCCATTCTTTTGCATATCGCGAAACTCGACTCGCCCTGCTCTGTTCTGTCAACACGGACTGATCCGATTTCACTGCCATACGTGTGACTGAGGTTGACTTTGGTCGACTGACACACCACTTCTGTTTTAAGCGGTAGAACTAACCTACTTGCGTCGTGCAATTAATGGGACCAAATAAATTATCAACAGCCTAAAGAATTCGCCTTTTTACTAAATGATTTGAACGCCCACTGACATCTGTGTATTCGCGCATCTTTCTTGTCTAGGTGAAATGATGTAGCTTGGTCCGGTTTGTTGCTTACATTCCACGTTAGCGATGTTTTGCTGCTCTGATGGCCTAACCGTCCAAAACTATACTCATACGACTTCATCGTCGTAGTCGAAAGAAAAACAAAACCGTGATGGTTTGATACATGCTAGCAGTGTTTTCCCGCCCTCCGACGATGACGACCTTGAAAGGTTAAGTAACTTCATAATATAGACGGTTGAGTGGCTTATTAGTCGGTTATCGCTCGTTGGATATAGGGAGTAGTGTATCGGAAACCACAATTGGGGCTTGTTAGCCACTAGTAGAGGGTAGCTCCGGCCCCGATGAGACGTTCGATCTGACTGTGAGGCATTTCGAGCAATTTCCCGCAGGTACGACTGCGGTCGTTACTCAGATGTGACAATCACTAGCAAATCGATGGTCATATCTGTGACGTCTCACTGTCTCGTAATACACAGGACAGGCGTTTGAATGTTGTGTTTGATCTTCTGTTCCATTTAGTCCCCCTGAACATCGTTTTTCGCAGTACTAAGTTTACTAGGCACCGTTCTTTCCAATCAGTGGAGTCTTGTCTGTGATCTTGTCTCATTATCTTCTAGTTTTCGGTGCAACAGCCGACGAGACAGGATGGCAAAATTCTTCGGTGGCAGTAATGACGTCATCCACCCCACAGTCGACCATCGATCATCATCGGGCACCGATCAGAACGTCGAGCGAAGGTGGCAACGTGTTGAGCTCTCCGGCCACGCCTTGTCGCTCCTATCCTCTGCGGTCTCGTCTTCGTCGCGAATCCATGCTGCGTGAATGGCAAGCAGCCCAGACAGCTCCAAAATCATTCAACCATTTGCCAACCGAAGTTGTCTTTCGTATTGTTCACTATCTAAGCATTCAAGATGCATTCCGATTGCAACTTATCAATCGGCGCCTCAAAGCAATCGTCGAACGTTATTTGCTACTCGTCAAGCGTATCAACTTTAGTAACGGCTTGCCTTTTGCATTTCTACCCGAATCTATCACTGACTCTGCTCTGAAACGCATTCTCAGTCGTACTCCGGAGGTCACACACATCTTGGGGTTCTACCCAAAACGAATACTAGGTTCGCATCCAGCGGATTTCCACAGCCTGGGCAACACTCGCTCGGGACCGAATAATGCGCTGACTTATGCCGGTATTATATCAGCGTTTCGTATTTGTCCTCGCCTCCGATCGGTTGAACTCATGGATGTCGAGCTAATGAGCAAGCTAGTACACTATCTACCGCGTATCAAGTTCCATGGCATGTTTCGCAACCGTCCTGATTCATGGGACAGTGAGTACGCCGTACCGTTGCCACCCGAATCTGAGCCGTTGTCCCCTACGGTTGCTGAAACCGTTGTAGAAAATCCCAGTTCGTGTTCCTTGTCATCTGGTACCGACAATCCAGCTTGCCAACCACTTTCGGATCCAGAACCCGCCGGAGTAAACCATTTGAGCAATTTGTGCTGTTCACTTATGGCCGCTACAGCGGTCGCTACAAGTTATCCGAAATCTAAGTTGCATAAACTGTTTGGTTTCAAACGACTGAAATCCGGGCGTCGGTCATCTTCCGGAGCATTTTCGCCGCCGCCAGTGGACGTCATCCCAGGAACGCCTAGTGGTTCCTCTGGGAACTCAATTGGACACTCAGCTGCTGCCGTCGCTCAGCGATATACAATACAGTACGCTGATCTGGCTTCCTGGTTCGAACCTTTAGGCGAATCTCCAGTCGGCCATGGCTCACCTTCCACCATCCCACAATTTCTTCCGTCACGATCACTTACACCATGGCTTGATCGTCCGCCACATCAGAGGACTATTCCCACGATCAATATCCTCGATGGTCTGAGAAATATGGCGATTGCACCGTTCCTCCAACCCGGTCTGCCTCCAATCGAAGCTGAAGTGATCACCGGACCCCTGATCGGTCCCACCGACCCTGCAGATGGACCGCCTATTGCACTCAATCACCATGCACCAGTTATGGCGCTTGCTTTGCGAGCGGTATTTGTCCCACCGCATCTACCCAATCACGGTGTTCCGGCTCCCATATTGCTTGCTCCTCATGGACCAGGTCCGGATGGACTGGGCAATCCACCCCAGGATGAAAGGCGCATGATTTGGCCGCAACCACAGGGGCAAAATGTAGCCTTGCCTATGGGACCACCTGCCGGTTTCGATGGCGGAGTTGAGGCTAGGCACATTGAAATGCATAATCAACAACCAAGACAAGCACCTGTCATCGCCCAGCCGGTGCGGATTGCTCCGAATCCAATATTCGCTGGTCGCTCACATCGGCGGCATCCAATTAGGCACTACGTCCGTCACATACCCGCGACCGGACGTTTGAGTGCTAGTGGACCGTGGCTTGTTTCCCCTCTGCCAAGTCATGCAAACTGGATCGCTCTACCACATGCAATCACCAACCTGACCAAATTGGACCTCGTCTCTGTAGCCATCAGTGCGATTCCGCGACTGGACAATATCAAATACCTACATCTGAAATGGGTAAGTTCCGGCCTTCTGTTTTGGCCGTCAAGTATCGGCTTTCCATTTGTTCAAGTTATTCATTTTACCGGAACATTCTTTTCGTCTCTGGCGCTTCACCATCATCAGCCCGTAGGTAGGCTTAACGTTTTGTGGCCTGAGGTGGGTGTTTTATCCCCAGATGTCATAGGCAATCGCACATTTTCTCCAGCTGTTCTTCACGGACATCACCAATGACTGCCATACACTAGTGATATGTGTCGGTGCTTAACGTTTATACAGCCCCATAAGGGGAGAAAGCCAGTCGGAAGAGTAGGGATGTAGCGCGAAGTAGCCCTACGTTGATCAAGTAGATGTAGTGCCTACACCTTTGGGCGGTATTAAAATAAACACATCTGAGCACCCTGTCGATATAAGGCGTCATCTGTAGGATTGGTCCGGTGTCCTTTGTAAATCTCGCCCGGCATACCCCAGCGCATAACGACAGGGGAACTTCAGCTAGGCAGTCCGGCTAGGAAATGACAGCATTCGCTCCATTGCGACCGGCCGCGTGCCATGTCCTTCAGGTTTTCCGACCAATTTCAAGAAGGATTGGGTGGGTCCCAACCAGGAAGCAGCGAAGGCCTCATAGCACTCAGTTTGATAGTAGCCGAACCAGGCCACTTAAAAACCACTTTATTTTGGACTCGCTGCAGCCAGTTCACTCTTGCTATGCTACGGAAGCACTGATGATCAAACAGTTAAAGATACCTGAGGTCCTCGGGTCGGAAGGACCAAGCCTCACGACCATATAGTAAAACTGCTCTAACGGTTGCCTTGTATACACGGCCCTTGAGCTTCAGCGAAATTCGGTCCTGTCAGGAAATTGATGTAATTTGGCGGACGCTGCTCGCACCTTTCATGCACAGTAGCTGATAATGATGCAGGTTTCTTACCCGCCACTGGGATCTGCCATTTACTGGTAGCAACTGCTCTGAGCCCGTAACCATCCAGACTGGATGTAAACCCACTATCTTTTTGCTTTGAGTCTCCCGATGTGAACTCGGTTACGTTCCACATTTTGTTGTCCTTGACCACACTTTACAGTCGATTTGCTTATCCCCGAGGAATGTGATGGAAATAACCCCTGTGCTTACTTCGGAAGTATAATCGAATGTGCATATCGTTTGACCTTGTTAGCGGTGTTCAATCTTTCAGGCGTAAGGTAAGGCAGATCGACTGAAGTTCACTTTGTTCATGTTGACGGGCAACAAGTTATCGACCCTAGTCTCTCGTACCTATAGCTTAAATGTGACCATTAGATTTCACCTTTTCCAAGCTACCGCAAGCCTGAGTGTTAACTATCGTGGCTACTGATCGTTGATTTGCTCGCTGAGCTAGTCAGTTTAGTTGCAAGTTACCAATCCAGGTAAAATCAGCAGTACGTTGTTTTGTGAACGTAATGTTATGTCATGGCTTGTACACACTGTGCTCACTTACCAAAAAGACCAGTGAGTTTGATTGTCCACGGAGCCCAATTGGAAGCCTGTGTGTAATCAAGCTTTCACCATTCCCCATCTTTACGAAAACCCGGGACATTTGAACTATATCTTCGGCTAGCTTATTTTGGCGGTATGTTCACAGGCTGTTGATCCGTCATTCAGGTTCGTCGCGGATTATAGGTGCAGATGACTCCGCGGTTAGAGCGCGAATTCGCTGACCAGAGGGTCCGTGGTTCGAACCCGACCTCTACATCTCGACTTCCCCTGTCTAGGCTTGGGCAACCTGCCAGTATCCCAGCCCTCGTGCTTCCTTCGGGTGGCATGGTAGTTAGGCGCCGAAAGGGTGCTACAGCTGGACGATTTCACTGGTGGGGATGACACCCTGGACACCCCAACACGTATATATTGGCAAAACGAGACAGGCTAAAAAGTACCGTTTTGTGTTCAGTCATAGATGTATTCTGCATTGAGCGAACCACGGAAGACTTCTCAGTCTAACCAGTAAAATTCACTGATACCTGTCCGTTCAGAAGTGGTTCGTTTCATTCATACTATTTCCAACTACTTTATTTCTTTTATTACCGAGCTTCTAAATATTGATGATAGTTCGATAGCCTACGCAATGTGCAGGGAGAAACTGTAATCAATCTGTCCTGTGAATAGCTGATAATTCACCATGTTCAAAATAATTAATAGTTTTTTACTCTGTTTTATTTTCAAGTGCTTCACACAACTTGACACGTTAGCTACTCCGCTTCTTTGCTGTCCTAACTTTCTCATTTTCCACACTTGACTGTCCCGTTAACGATGTGATGCGCCTCGCAGTACATGCTCAGTCTGCTCAGTCGCCTACTTTGGCTTGTAGAGTATACTAATTGTCCTCGAATCCTCTTGCTCTTTTATCTTGACTTGCGTGTGATATTGCCTCTTCTCATGGAGGTAGGTTCCCCGCGTTTTGTAACACCATGTCTCGGACGTAATCGATGATGATTCCCCGATCTCACTGGTTCCGGGTGTTTCATAGGACAGCTGATATCTAAAGCCCTTAGGCGCGAGCTCCCGGAAGCCGCATATGCACCATAAGTTTAAACCTAGCCGTAAAAGTCCGTTTAAACAGGGGCAGTCAATCTATTCACAGCACGCGTCTGCCTCCAATATATGTTTGTGTGTTGTCCGTACACCGCTAGCTATTTCGGTCTCTGTCCGTGATAGGTTGATTTCTATTGTGAAGTCGTGGGCATCTTGGCGGCACTCTGTCTTTCGTGCTCCCCGCGACTATGCACCGGAGCAACATCACGACTGAATGCTCCTTGTTAGCAATGTAGTTTACTACTCGGTATTGGTGACATTTTACTGTGACGTTATGTTTCTGAAGTTTTGAATGTTGACATAAGCTCCCGCTCGAAATTCGGATTGGCAACTGGCACTTTGCCTTAATGCGCCAGGAACTCGCCACCCTTTAGATAGTCTGACGCTGAGTTATCGGGCGGATTGGTTTGTTTTCGTCTCAGTTAAATGGGATCTGTCAAAAGGCTATGGTCATTTCTAACCGAAAGACGTCCCGTAACGGATGACACCATTTCGGCTCATTCTACTCTGTGCGACTGAAGCAGGACAGCTTCGCCCACGCGTCTAACGGTCTACATACTTTCCCCGTGTTTTTCAGGTTGTATTCACGTCGGCAGATCCATTCTTCAACTTCTCCGCGACAAAACTACAGTCATTTGTGATGAACAACTGTAGTGGTCCGTCTCGAGCTGTCCGGTTTGTACGTATCTTCTCCGCGCTTGCTCGTGCGCCACAACTCACTCGTTTGGAGCTAGTTGGGATTCGTTTTGTTGGTAAGTCGCCAAGGATTTCGTTTGCCAAGTTTGAACTGGTTCCATAATGGGCCCGGGCCTTAGATCCCCCGCAACCAACCATAGAAAGCCTTAAACCCAGCGGTTCCTTTCACTTTCATTTCATCTTCCGCTCGTGGTTGAATCTCCCCAAGAGATTGTTCCTCTTGATTACTCTTGTCCATTTCACCGCTTGTGTAACATCCAGAATCCAACTGAATGTGTATGTGTAGTAACGGTATTTTTCTCAGCTTACTTCTCGGTCTGAGCCCCCCAAGCTAGCGCTCACGTCAAAACAACCACCAAAGGTACACAAGGTATATTTGTGCCCAAACCGAAATCAAAAACACTTGTACAGCGCTTCATATATATAACATGGGCGGCAATAACTTTCTAGGAATTCTGACGCGTTCTAGGTGCGCAGTCAGCAACCTGCATTCGGCCAACACTGGGTCATGATAGGCTGTTAAGTCCAGACTTTCGACCAATCAGATCTCGGCTTGATGCCGGACCGGCAAGCGTCCCGGATTTTCGGCTAATCTTGCGTGGCATGGGCTTCTCGACCGTATCACCACCTGAGTGCGAGCGGCAAAGAGGGATCCGTGTTGAATTCCGCCTAACGGTATATCGGCAAAGTTGCTGAGTGAGAGTGGTACCCGCCTATCTTTACGGTGTATCGTGTCTCCGTTTTCAAAGTGAACACGCTCTATAAATGTCTAGAATTGTGGTGACTTAAACCCGGTGATCTAGAAAATAGTCAGCGCATACAATGCCCAGTCTTTCCATTGACTTAAACCTTCCTCCCTTGTTACCCCATTCCATCACACAGATAGAAAGTAACCCGTGTTTTTTGGACAAAAAGTCGACATCGAGGATGACGGTTGATGATGACACCTCAGCTTTTGTATCATATACTGAGAAAAACCAGATACTCTGGATGGGTTCATGATTTCAGCATATTTGGTGACCCAGTTTTCAGCCGTCAAGCCATCACATGTCTTGTTGTTTCTGCTTGTCAACAATCATTGAATGACACGGAGGAATTAAAGAATGGCGTTCTTTCGTCTGCTCTGCTCAGTGTTGACACGGATTTCTCGTGCGATTGTGCAAGTTTTGTCGATTGTCTACCGGGTCGATCATGAATCACGACTGTTGCGTCGTTGAAATCTTTCCACCACCACCGGCAATCGACTGTTCGAGGCATGGGTTCCGATTTATGTTGTGAGCGGCTCATTTGATTCCATATAACTTCCCGGCATTTCATTCTTCCAGCTGCTATAGCTTGAATGGCCATTTGAGCAGATATGAAGATATGTGGGAATAACCAGGTATAAGAGAGGTTTGAGAAAAGAAGTGAAGATAGAAACATGGGCGCACAAAGTTGGTTAGGCTGTGGAATCGGAGGGGATGTGTGTGTTGCAGTGTGCACTAAGATGCATTATAAAAAAAACAAAGGGATCAGGAAGACGCGATGGGTGGGAAAGGTAAGCGTGTCTGAATTTCGAATCAATAGTCGCCAAAAAACGGACCCGGTGTCCTTGCCTGATCGAAATATGTGGATATTAGGCGACTGGAATCATTGAAAACGATATTTTTTAATCACAAAGGAAACTACCCACAAGGTTGCTGAAAGCTCTTCGAAGAGTCTTCAGCAACCTTGTGATTTGTTTCCTTTATGAAAATATACTGCGTTATCTCGAATGTCGTACCAACTGAATCATGAGACGNACGGCCTGTGTGCAGCACATTTAGCTGGAGGACATCATAAACGAGAGATTCAGTTGAGTCTCTCGTGAAAACCAAATTGCTTTGCAAATTAGTGTATTTCTCAAATATTTTTTACTCTTTTTCCATCATGGGACCGGAATCTGAATGTTCTCCGCCATTCTTTCTTTGCGCAACCTCTTACTGGCTCCGTTTTCTTCGAACTGTAGTATGCCCAAGTTCACTCTTATTCCATAGTATGACCTTTCTTTTTTGGTGTATACCCTTGTGCACCTTCGTTTTCACACCTCCCAAATGTCCCTTTCGATATCATTTGGTCTCTCCCACACGAGCTGATGTTTTTTATTGTTTCATTTGATGACGGGTTGAGTCATCGTGAAATCCCGCGAACTCAAACCTGTCGGAACGTTGGCAGTGCATTACCCTTATCTCAACTACAACCAAAGTTGCGTACCTGTTTTTTGGCACTGCTAAGAAAAAGTAAAAGGCTTGGCTCCTCTGCTCCTATACTTAACGCATTCCGAGTAAACTGAGTCCGCAAACCAGTAGAACGGACTGATGGTAGGGGACCATTTGAATCCATTCGCAGTCTTGTTTCTCCAATCAAACACATGTATGGGTGCAGTGACCGTTCCCGAACTTCGTAGCAGCCCAGTCGAAATTTGCTCACCATCCACTGTAAAGTAAACACGCAGGACGTCACCGAAGCTGGGTCGGCATGCTTAATATCTGCTTATCGACGCCTGTATTGATGAACCTGCTTCGAACCCTCGTTTTACGGTTATCGCTCTCAGATTCGCTGATGCCAGCCTGAATGTGCCCGGAATCTCAGACACCGCCTTCCAAAGGCTTAATAGTTACATTAGTAATGGTCCTACCTCACAACTACGCTGATGACTGATGCACGTGACTTTGAATTCACCACATTTCGACCCTACAAATAGCGTAAATCAGTGAGGGTGATTCGAACCTTTGACCCTGCCCGATACTCTACCGTTGCCAGTAAAACACTCGACCTATATGGAGCGCTTCATGTAGTTCAGCAATCTAAATTTCACAAGGGGGACTCAGCGAAGTTTCTTCTGGAACGCAACCTTACATTGAATGCGTACAGAGCGCATTCTGATGAATTATATGGCTCCGTTAGATTCGTGCGATAAACTTGTTCTCCTTTTTTCGTGCACTTATTTCAGTTATCCAAGATTTTCGTAGGTTTGCGTTTAAACAAAGGTATCTTGAATCCCTCTGGATTTTTTTATGACTCCCACACCTCATTGATGAAACAGGAATGGAAGTGATATCGTCATATTTTTGATGATAGTTCACGCATTGCGGCCGACCATTACCAGAGGCTAAGTTGCAAAACATTCCGCAGTTGTAGGTATACTGCTGTAGCCATCACAAGCACCCTCACTCCGCCTCTCGTCGTACTGTTCGGCAAGATGTTATGGGAGCCGAGATCTGTGAACACGGCACAATCCGGGTATCGAAGTCCTCTTAGTGGCAGACGATTCGGAGTTTGTTGAACGTGTGAACAATAGAATTCTAACCACTATTACTGTAATGAAGCTTACGGTGATCGTACTACGTCCCCCGACACCTCATCAGTCGTTTTTCAGCAACGGTTTCAGCGAATACTTGCTGACGAATCGATTTGTTGTTGGATACCTTATTTTGTCACAGTTGAAAGAATGCGGGACTGATCGTGCAGCAAAAACAACCGACTAGTCTAAGGTGTGTGCGTCAGAAAACCAACGATGTGCTGCAAACAACTTGGTCGGCGCTACTCTATCCATTTTTACCGCTACCCTGTTGTGGTTGTGATCGGTAGATGCATTTGTCTAACAGAAGCTGAGCGTACTATTGATTCGTGCGCCTTCGGTTGATTGAAGTCAGATTGCCTTTATACGTCACATGCTTGTTCATCGACGTTCAAGCTGAGAATCCGGTCATCGAAACCTTGAGCTGCTGATCTAGTATCTGTTTGAAGCGATCTGTTAGCTGATATTTGATTTTGTCGTTCACTATCTGTCACGACCCCATCGAACTTGCCAGGACTAGCACCCAACGGGCGATCCATGCAAATGATGAATTCCCCCATCTCTGGTCCTTTCGAACCTACATAACTGCATGTCAGCTCTAGGTTGACGCCCAGAAACCAAACAAACAACGCCGTGATTGTTTTTGACATTGTTTTAGCTGGACTAGCAGATTGCAATGCCATTTATGGGGGTAAAACTACGTTGCCATCTGCGCAACGACCGCTGTGCAGTGCGGGCAGTCGTTTAACAGGGTATCTGCCGAACGTATCCATTTCGGAGCATCTAGTCCGTGTGCCACTATTTGTTCAAAACCAAACCCGAACAAGATACAGAAAATTGGGTGATGTTTCGATGCAGATCTCCACAAAAAGAAAAAAAATACCACACACCACCCGGACGTACAACGCAGCTCGGCTCGTAATGCTAATTTTTGTAGAAAGAAACTGCCACTTCCGGTGCACCAAAGAATTTTGGCATCACACGCTATCTGCCGTTTCACCCGCAACTTCGGTGAATTTTTATATGAGAGCGCCTAGTATCAGGGACTCGGCGCTCTCTCCTGTTAAACGAACAAACCACGCACCGTCGTCGGTTGCCTCACGCATCCCTGGGAGACTGACCGTCCATTTTACACCAACATGTTCCATTCTGGTATGATATATTCGCTCAAGGTTTCGGAACGCTTCGTGGTTAATCGATTTAGAGATGATCACTGTGAGCCCGGCAGTCACGTGACGCCTAGCTTAGATAATATGAATGAGCGAATTCCCACAATAGTGTGGCTGGCTCAGAGGCCTCATCATGTTTTCTTCGTTGCTTCTCAATTGATTTGAGCGTGTTGCGGCTGACAAAACTATGTGAAGTATCTCCATCTGTCTACCTTCTTTTAATGTGATTCTTGTTTCACCGCAACCTCTTCATTAGCCATGCAGCTGTTTACCCGCGTCCAGTAGCTGTGGCAGATATGAAGGTGAAACGACTAACTAAGCTTGACGACCGCAGCGTTGCAGATACATGACAGATGGGGTGAAGTTGACCAGCATTTCTGTTGGGCAGATAAAAGGTCGCTTACACGCTTAATCAAAACGAATGAATGATTCGTCTAGGCAATGGTTGTTCGTCACATCAAAGTCACGTGTCTTGTGCACAGCCGTCCAAGCTACATGAAACATTTGGGCACACGAAAGCGTATGCTGTTAGTACACAATTAATGATGAAGACACGCGATCTACGGTTAATATGTATGACATAGAACGCCTTGAATATTTTATCCATGGCCAGGTGGAACTGGATGAATAGAGGACAACCTCTCGGGGTGTCCTATGAAGCAGAGACCGGTCCTGTCTACGAGCATTTCGAGATTATGTTATTGAGGATTGATATTTTTGTACACTGTCCATATTTAGCCGTTCATCTTCCATCCCCAGATCACGGATTCTGAAGGAGGGCGTATTCGCAGCCTAGATAGGACAGTCGCAGCTTTCAAGGGACCTCAGCTGATGTTTTCGGTTTTAGTTTTAGCAAGACGGCTATGTGGATGGTTTCCCTGGCCTACTTCACATCGGGTGACCTGTTTTAATCGCCGACATCTTTGTCCCAGCGCAACTATTGACCGTTGGTACATTATTTCGGATTTGACATTCTTGGAGCTCTGACTTCATGTTTACCGGTTGACTCTTTCGCTACGTTTGGCCTGAACATTGAGGTGACGCTTCCGCAATTGAGCACCGGTGATTTTGCCTCTTTTTGTGACAAAACGTTCGCAACAAAATTAGAAAGCTCAGCGAACAACTTGATTATCAGTACGGATCAACTTTGCTGCGTGCACTCGTAATGGATTAATGGTCACAACCGATCTGAACCAATAAAAGAGTAAGCGTGTTGTATCGACCAGGGTGCACGACAAAAGTTTCGCCTCACTGATATTCGGTTTCTGCATTGTGTCATAATCCTGGGCTCCGCCATCACAGTCGATTGGCAGAAGGCACAGTGAGGTAAAAATGAAAGCAAAACGTTTCAGTGTGTTGGTCAAACACTAAGTGAGTAGTGAACAAAAGGCTCATGAGGTCACACTGCATGTCAGGTTGTTGACAAGTATTCCACATTGCTGATCAGCCACCTGTCGCGTTTCAACTCCTCATAGGGGGTTGAATCCATTCGTAGCTAGCATGGATTGTTGAAGCGCGTCCATCAATTGTACAAAGTTTCCCACTAGCCACATTTTATAAGCGCTGTGCTCACAAGTCATGGCACCTGAGAAGTCGCCGCTGGAGAAGTCCGTCAGTGCGATTGGAGGATGAGTTGCCCCATACCCCACGTGTAAGTCCACCACCATTTTGGTGGTGTGTTCAACTTTTCCCTGGAAGGTCGCGGTTCTGAATGTTTATCAAAATTCTTCGGACGTCAGCATAGGTGAAAGCCCTCATGTGTAATTGTCTTTAACTATCCTCACCGCTTGCGACTTGCTTACCAAATCACAGCACGCTGGTTGGATAAACACAGAGAATTGGCAGCACGTCTGTGTCAAATAGACACGCCAGTCGAACGGCACCCCAAAACTACACATCTCCTTCTCGTCGAGTACCAAATGCCTGCATGAATATGACGTTTGTTGTTTGACTGATCCGGACACAAGCACACTATTATGCCGATGTGGTATCAAACAGCATTTCGTGCACTTTCAAAACTGTTCTTGACGTAAAGGTCAGTAAATATGGTTTTAAAAATTTCCAGATCGATCTTGCTCCAAAAACCGGACCGTTTTCTGCTACACCCTTTGTCAGTTGGCTGCGCTTTTGCATAGTGTGTGCGGAAGATCGTGACCACCAGTGTTTGTTTCAGTTCATCAACTGCAGATCCAGATCCAGATCCAATGTTGCGTTGGTTTCAGCTTCTACAGGGGAACGGACTTGGATAGACCAGTGAGGCAATAGCCCAACCGGATCACTTAACTTTCGCCGTTTTGTTTTTCCGGAGGCACGATTAAAGAAGATAGCCTTGTTCCAGGGGGTACTGATAGCTTAATTGGACCGTTTGTCACCAACCACGAGTGTGTACCACCGGTGACCTAAAGGTTGGGTGCTTTGGGTCTACTGTCAGTCAGATTTCCGTTGGTGCCCGCACGTGAAAGACTTGTGTAATCATTTGGGCTTTTAAAGAAAATCGCGCAAACGCTATGTCAATGACAATTCAAACTGACTCCCATCTACCGCTTCCTGAACTTCCTTGACCCATAGCGTAGCTAACAGCGTGACGGTTGATAGGAACACCTGACGTGTGTGTGTGTGTGTGCAACCTGGCGCATGTGGGTGGATCGGATTTCCTTTAGGGGACTGCTCTTGTTTTCTCGGCATAACACCATCAACTGGTTTGCATAGGACGACGAAAATACGAAATGTTTCGTTCCTGGTTTCCCTCGTAAAAAATCGTTCAGCTGTAGCACTCTTTCGGTGCCTAGCCGTCATGCCACCCGAAGGTTGCACGAGGGCTGGGATACTTCCAGGTTGCCCAAGCCTAGACAGGGGAAGTCGAGAGGCAGAAGTCAGGTTCGAACCACGGACCTTACGGTCAGTAAATTCGCGCTCTAACCACTTGGGCCATCTCGCTCCGGTTTCCCTACCCCAACTTAACTCGGTGGCTAGCCTGCCGAAGGTTCACGCATGTATTTAAAGTACGGTTTGAATTTTTCGGGGTAGAAGTATGAATTATTGACCAAGGGATCCGTTGTTTTCTATGAACGCAACTCTTAAAGTGGAGGCAACTGGTTTATGAGTTTCTGTATATGCATGGGGCATTTTTGGTCTGCGAATTCCGAAGGAGTGAGCAGGGAACTGTTGAGCGCCATCATCCGAATTAAGCATGATGATACTACTACCGCCGTGAATATTCCGTTATTTCCCCTTCCGTCTCTGTATAACAACACAATAAGATATAATTGCACCTGCCTGCACAAGCTGAGACATTTTGGCTGTCAGATTCCGCTTCCAGGGGATCTGACTTATTCATCTCCTCAAATTCACTGGCCTTGGTTCGTTGGTCATAAGTCGCTGGATTGTTTTTGTTCGATTATCGAGGTGTAGAGTCGTCAAATGCACCAAGCCTGTATGTTCGAACTTCCGCAGGCACTTCTGTTCACGGCCAGATTTTCTCGTCACCTGTGTTCGCGACCAACAAGTGAAACCGACACCGAATTCATGTGGAATATTGGTAAAGTTGCTATGAACGTTCTCTGTCGTTTTTGGATTGCTCACTTACTGAGCGAACCAGGCATTTTTGTATCCCATGCTTCTCTAATGGCTAGTATTCTGTGCTCTCTAGTCCATCTCGCTCATAGATGGTCAAGCTTATCGAACTATCACCACATGTTCTCCGGACAAGCGTTAGGAGATGGCTCAATGGTTAGAGCGCGAATTTACTGACCGTAAGGTCCGTGGTTCGAACCCGACTTCTGCCTCTCGACTTCCCCTGTCTAGGTTTGGGCAACCTGGAAGTATCCCAGCCCTCGTGCAACCTTCGGGTGGCATGACGGCTAGGCACCGAAAGAGTGCTACAGCTGCACCGAAAGGGTGCTACAGTTGAACAATTCAATTTTAATTTCCTGACAAGCGTTATCGAAATGGTTCAAGTTACCGAGCGAAGCTGATAACTCTATACCTCGGTATCTACGTGCATCCCATGCGAAATAGGGGTTGGTTGATTCACACAACGTCTCAGAGAAGCCCTTTTTCAACCAGGCATTTTTGGCGTCAAGCTGTTCTTTCCGCTGTGATCCTCAAACAGAAAGTATTCCTTGGTTCCCCACATAGTTGCGTCTCAGTCGATGGTCGACGTCGCTGAGTTTACCGCTGCGTTGCTTTTCTGGTATTTGCTAATCATGATATCTGTGCGCTATTCGGATGCAACAGATCTCGCGTAATCGATGCCGGCTTCAGAGGGTGCAAGCCTAACTAAATATTGTTTCCGCCAAAAACAACACAACCGTCACTTGTCAGATTGTTTGTTTAACTTGTTTTCTATCCTCACAAAGAACCTGATAAATAACAACCCTTAGGGTATCATCAATAAAACTCTGGTCAGATGCCAAAAACTCAGTCACCGAAGGTGTTTACTTCTTTACTTCCTGCTTTGCTTCAACTTTCTCTTGGAGTAGGATGAATGGGTTCCAAGGAGATCCCGAATTACTGTTGCAAATAAAGCACGGTCAGTAGCAAGGTCCCTCATCCTCCGTTCCAGCGGTCAAGTCCCGCAGACCGCACTGAAACCCAATGGTCTTATGTGAGCCGTGACTTTTGAGAGCAGGTTTTAATTGTTCTTTGACGCGACGCTGCCCTCTTGGATAGGGCTGTGGTAACAAGTGGACCTTGGACACCTATGAATCTGGTTTTCATTTGACATATCCAAACCGCTGTAGTCGGCGCCGCTGGATGAATTTGGAAAACCGAATGCTATATTGACTCTCATTCTAACGTGTTTTCGCTACTTGACGTAAAAACCAACGGTCCAATAATTTGAGTCTACAAAGATAGTCAGCTCGGAGAGGTTAGGTCCCCAGGATCTGACAGCCACGTTGCACACTTTGAACTCCTTCCAAACGTTTCCGACCGCCTCCTTGGAGTGATGTGAAGCTGCATGAAAACCTCCCCATTGTTGTCGGTGCGAGGAGCGGTAAATGT